GAACTTTTCGTGGTGTCTGTACGTGCGTATCTCGCATAACTCAAAAACGAGTAGCCTCAGAACGTTGAAATTGTGTATACAGGACTGCTATAACATGCAGATGTTCACCTCGTATTTTAGTTGCAATGGGCCGCACCAAACATATACAAATATATTTATATATATATCCACTCTGTTACCCGGCTCAGTGATCTAAATTTCTTTACTCTTATATGTTTGTAAATTGTGCATTTTTTGTTTTAAAAATGATTGAATTATGTTGTTTTTATCTTTCGGTTAAGGTTTTTATACCTTTAGTAAATTTGTATACAATAATTTTAGAATTATCAACAATTTTAAAGTTGTTTAAGTGCGGTTAAGCCTAATTTTTAAATAGCATGGCGGACATGTTTGTTTACATTTGAAACAGCAGAATAGTAGATTTGTTGCCAATCTAGAGAGACTAAGCTTCGCAACAACAAAGTTAACGCCTTCATTCATTATTGCGAAATCCTTTCTGGAATTATGCTTAATCCTTTCTGGAATTTTTGCGATGAATAAGTGCTTAAGATTTACCTCGTAATTTTTAATATAGATATTTTGATTTTTTATGTATTTTTGCCTTGTCACGAAGTGAGAACTGAATTAATTGAATGAGAAATACTGAATCATCTGTGAAAAACTATTTCTTTCTTTTTTTGTTTTGTTTGTTTAATTTCTTTTAAACATGGTTCTAGATTTATTATAGTATTTGAATAGAACATGTGCAAACGATTAGATAATTCTTCAAACGCTATAAATTTTGTGCATTCTGAGTTGTAATATAAACGAAATATAACGCTGTTAAGTGAACGTAGCCCCAGAGTGTCGCTATGGTAAACAAATATAGTGAATTTTAAAGAGTGCATTTATTCTATTGTGGTTTAGGCGCTATCGACGAAGTAGATTTAATTCAATCCAATAAGTTTAAATGAAATGCAAGAAAAAATGCGTATAATTTAATATTCTGTACAAAGAAGTCATGTGGTGTACACATCAGATTTTTTATGTTTAGCATTAAGGTAAATTATGCAAATTTTCTGCATGTATCAATATTTTTTATAATCGTACTGTTAGCTAGTGAGGTTCATTTATTTATGAAAATTTCAGTACCCCTTAGAACTCAGATTCTGAATTTCATACTAAGATTGACTAAGCCAGTATTTATGAACCAGTAGAGTCTAATTGGTATAATATAGTTTGTGGAAATATATTGGATAAGTTCCTTTTTTGAGTTGCGTTTAGCTAACTACACAAAAAAACATGAATAAAAGATATTCAAATTTTATACCTCTTATCTATACATAAACTGAGAATATGTCATTCTAAAAATATGCTTTAGAAATGAAACTGAAGAAATCCAATATGCAATTTAACTCAATTTTCAGTATTAATTATTTGGCTGCTAATAACTGTTCTATTCGGTGAACTTGTAAACAGGTAGCATCGGCAGGTTTACAGATTAATTCCTGATAAAAAATAATTAATGAATCCTTCAACAGGGGGAGAAAACAGGCGATTAAGCCTTTCTTGATTCCAAAAAAACTATTGCTTGAAAGTTATAATTAGTTATACGTGGCTTTCAAAAATTACAACTGCAATAATTTAGTTATTTTATGAAGATTACTATGTTAATAAATTTCAACGTGTATCTCCTTTTCAGCTTGGAGAAAGTCAAATCAGTAATCTAGCCCTCACTATGTATTATTCCTCATTAAACTTTATGTGTTATTATGGCCCTCAAAGTATTAGTATCATGAACTAGTGTCTTGGTCCTTGATATGTCCTTTGTCCGATTAACAGCAGAGTTAACAATCTCATCACACACGGTAAGCTGCCACTTCTTGAGAAGTCATCAATGCTACCAGTTTTTTTAAATAAACTTTTCAATACCAATTCTTGATGCTGTTAACATCTGAAGGATTGCGTCCATACGAGCTTCTAAACTGATATTGACGGGCGATTTAGATTCATGCTAACATAAAATACACTTATTTTCTGTTATGGACATCATATCATTACTAACTACCCCTTGGCGCTGTTAACTAAATGTTTTTTTAAAAAAGAATTATAGCAGTAGAACTATGTAATGATAAACATCTCAAATTTTATCTTCCGTGGTTATTTCGTTCGTAATTTTATCTTCCATGGACATTTTTTAATCAGTAAAAACCATTTTGCTCCTCCTTTTTTTTTTCAATTTCTTAGCATATTTGGCGAATGGATTTTCAAGCTCATCAGCATCCAAAATGGACGCTTAAAGTTATGAGGTTATTCTTACTCTCAGAAAACAGCCTAAAATTTGTAGCAATAATGTTATGTTAATATTAGATGAGGTTACAATTTTTAAGTATTTCTGGTTAAATTATCTAACTTATTGATTTAAATATTTACTGCCATATTTCAGCCGAATATTTGATAGGCTAATACAATTTAATCCCGCAAAATAGCTGCCTAGTGTCTCTTGTTACATAAATGCACCGAAATCAAATAAATATGAGTTTGTCTGAACATGTATAAATTTCGAACTGATAAAGGCGAATCTAAGTTATTGTATTGATCTGCATGTACAAAATGGGCGAAAGAGATTCAGTATAGCAAATTATCATGAAATTTTATATGTGAATAAAAAAGTAATTGAAATGTTACGCTGTTAAAATAGCATTAAATTAAGAAGCCAAGGAAAAAAATGGAATGTTTTAAATCAGCATAAGAAATTTAAGCACGACGTGCTGAGTAAATACAAAAAACAATAATAGCGGACATTAATATTAAAACTCCAAAATATGCGATATTATTGGACCAATACTAAGCGTGTAACTGATGGCTTAAAAGTTCAGATTGATCTAGAAACGGTTGGGCAAATGTGAACTGAAGAACTGAGCATAGGAACGATTTCTGTAACCTAGCATAGAGCATTTAACCTCACGCTCAATGTGTGGGCATTTCTAGAGACCTTTACAGCCAGAAACACAAATACACGTTTAAATAACCTTAGCTCTTTAGTTTAAATAACCTTAGCTAAGTCATATGACTTAGCTTCCCGCGATTTTTGGTTGTAATGTTGTAATTATTCTAAAATATTTGACGTGTATACTGCATGACTGCCTTGTATGCCTATTTAATTATGCAAATTTTCTGACGCACTTCTTAAGCCTATTTCCTTGAGTTATTCTTAATTAAACGATCCCCCAAGGCAAGTTGAAAATGACATAAAAATTGTAAATTAAAATATCGTGGACAAATTTTGTCTTACGGAAGTCAAACTGTAGGATCGTGTTCTCTGTGGCCACATAAACTCTACTAGATCCTACTAAGGAAACTGGTGACTTCTTGCACAGGCGTAAATGAAACCAATACGGAAGAAGGGTAAAAATAACCTTTTATTATTATTTAACTCTGAACAGATAGGCACGTACTTCGTGCTTACATTAACATTTTCACGATTACAATACTTCCTTTACTTCGTACAAAGAAATAAAAATTATTTCAAGACCGATTTCCAGAAAGGAAAATGCCATTTAAGTCAGTGTTTAGACGCGCAAAAAGAGAACTTTAAAGGTGATAGTATTCATCAGTGTGCAGTTTCATACGTATGCTTTTAAAAACGCATTTTGAGACCTAAATTGTTTTACCATGTATATAGAGTGTATGGCTATGAATATGCATGCATCAGTGCATCTTATATATCAGGTCAAGTAGATGTAGTTATATCATGTTTATAGCGACACCAATCAAAAAATTTGCGAGGGATGTAATTCATAATAAAAGGGAAACTTATAGATTTAAAAAAGTGCATGCCAATAGTATTTTTATTTTTCAAAGATAATAAATAATCAACTATTCCATTCGAAGTATAAAGAAGATAAGCAACGTCTTTGGAAGCATTGGCACACAGTTCGACATCAGTTCTGGAACAAATGGAATATTCTTGAATTCTAAGATAATTACTTCAGATTGACGATTATTGAAATATCATGAGTGCCAACTTTATTTATCACTGGTTTAAACTTTAAGGCCAAAGGAAGAAATTCACGCATGTCAAGTCAGAACAGCTAGATAGCCACTCTACTAGGCATTGTCTTCCGACGGATTGGTCTGAAATATTATTTAGTGTGTGCAGTACTATGTATAGATGCATCCATCTAAAATTCACTGATACTGCGTCATTCCTTTCTACATGGGGCTTATCGCAATCGTTTTTTCCATCACATTTTGTAGTCATGTTGCTTTAAACATGTATAACTGCTTTTGCGACATCCGATAAAGCAATATAATAAAGACTGAATAAATAATACGAGGTCTACAAGTCTTAGTGAGGTCTACAAGTCTTAGTGAGGTCAACAAGTATTAGAATCTGTTAACTACACAGGTCTCATTTCGAAAGTAATAATGGGCACTAAGTTTTGCTGTACATATTTGTAGACCATGTTTATTTTTTCTTTATAATCTACCTCATTCTGAATAACGTTGTCTCTGAAGGCTTATAGTTAACGACTTTATCCCGATTTTTATAAATTGGATATGTGGTAGATAATATGGTTACTAGGTGCCTCCGAGAAAGAAAATGTCTGTTCCTTCATGTAAACTAATACTTTGGTCAAGAAAGTGATCACTAGGTACCTCAAGATTTGTAAATCCCTATCACATCTTTCCCACGTAAGGTTTCAATTCTGGTGCATGACCATTAATAATCTCTCACCACGATACCCGAGTCTTCTGTTGCATACACTTATGAGCGCTAACAACATATCCTGTGGGCTATTAAAACATTTCTTGCTTCTTTTAGTCTAATATAATAATTTGCAAGTAAAACGTTGTACTTATGTCTTACGCTTTAATGGCATTTGCGATATTTTGCAATTTATTTGTAATCGAGTTCATATACTGAACATACTTTTACAGTAAAATATATTAATATTTATGAGGACCATAATATACTACGTTTCCGTTTACTAATTCTTATATTAACTTATTTGCAGGTTGTGGTTCGGATCCGTCCAATTTTCGATTATGAAGTTGAGAAAGGCGCACAGAAAATCGCAAGAAAAGTTGACCAGAAGGTAAATTTCACGTATTTCACGTATCTCCTCATCTTATGTTAAGAATCCGTGTTATTAATATTATATTTATTTACTTTTAAAAAATGATCTAACAATTTAAAAATGCGTGATACTCTCTCTACATTACACCAATAGGAAGACAGCTGTTTCTCAGATAAGCTTTCAGCTTAGTATCCGATTGCTAGGAATATCTATAGTTGTCAATTCATCAGCCCGAGATAGAAATATGATTACTATTATAAAATATCACAGTAACAATATCATCAATCAAGTATCACAGTAACAATAACAAGTACAGTTAAAGCTAGCAGAAGATAAAAAGATAATGTTATCTACATCTATCTGTCTTACGACTATCTGTCTTCGACGACGAGTAATTGTTCAAAACCGTTTAAAATGTTTACCACTTTCATATTATAGTATGCTTGCATAATAAAATTATGCTGCAGTTAAAAATGATATTCTATTACTAACCTCGAAACTCAATTATGACAATTTTTAGAAGAGGTGTACTCGCAATCGCAGTTGTATCAATAATTCACTGATTTTAGTCTGCAGTACCTTATTTAAAAATATGTTTTTTGAAAGCTTAGTCCGTATAATACGATTAAAAAATCCTCTAACTTACATTAGAAATATTATTATTTAACAAAATGAAAACAATTCACCAGCATTGCTGCTTGGCGTGAAGGTCAGAGATCGGTCTTTATTAACTGGCAAACTGCCGACTGTTAGCGTATCTTCATAAGGCACTATATGCTAATTAAATAGAAATCTGCAAAAAATGTTTCACCACTTCATTTGGGATTCAGGGCTACTTATTTAAATATATATTTTCAATTAAATGTTAACAAATTTATCAAAATATTTGGACAAATTACAATATTATAATTAACCTTTAAACCAAATTGACGAAGTTTTTATAGGTATGTTATATTTATGAAAAATAATTTACTAATCAGTTACTCAGAATATACAAGTAATTATACGGGAAAATTTTATTAGTTAATTAAGAAATATGAAATATAAAATTAAAAAAATTCTTCTTGAGCTATCAAATATTAATGCGAATATGCATTTAAAGCTTTTAAATCCTGAAAAACGTATATCTGCGATGTTATCGCCATGCAGTGAATTGTAAATGCTTTATTTTTTACAGCGATATTTTCGACGACGACGTTTTTAAGCTGTGAAGATTTTGAACCGTTTTTACTTTCGATGGCGATGTTTTGTACCATGATATTTTTTCCTTGTTTCTTTTCTCTTACGATGTTTTGTACGACGATATTTTCGCTTTACGTTTGTAAGAATTATGTTAATTTTATTAACAGTCAAATTTTAAGTTCCTTTCCTGTCAAATTCTTAACTTTAACTTATTACATCTGGCCGGAACGTAGTTTTGGAATCTTTCTGAATACTTAGTGAGGAGGAGCAGTATTTAAACCGCGGAGTTACTTACAGAGTAGAGAGAATCAGAGTTTCTGATTTACGCGCGTCTGCCTTTTGGCTACTCTCTCTCAAAGCTGTTATTACGCTCGGCCGTACTCAGGCCCTTGATAAGCTTCGTGGTCAAATAAAGTTAAGGGCCAACTCTAGTAGAATCTTGATAGCTTCGGCTATATTTCTTTAGTTAATCTTTGAATGACCCATGTCATTCAAAATTAACTTCAATGTCAAATTCCTGTGCTAATTAAGTGATTGCTATGTTAATTTGATGTTTACACCAAATTGCTAATTAGACTTTCCGCGCTGACTGTTAATATGAAGTGCTAATTGGGATATTTTTTGCAACTTAATTACTCACTGTGCTGATTGTACATAATTATATAAGTGCAACAACCCAATTACCGTGCAGGGTCTACTTGATGGGTAAATTAGACATACTGTAGAACCATTCATTTATTGTTTACAAGGACTGATTAGATATTTTAATTGTGATAACGACTAATTGATCTTAATTGTGATAATTGCTATTGATATTATAATTATGATAATAGGCACTGACTAGATATTTAAATTGCTGTGTCGTCCCCTTTTTATTTACTATGCATTAGGAAATTTCATGTTACAGAATTAGTGTATCTAACTGTTTCATCTAGCTGATCCTATCTGATATTCAGTAAGTTAATAAGTTGCTGTTATCCTTAACACATACTGAATTCTGTCACATCCCTCTGATAATAGAGACATTCTGTCACTACTAAACAGAGCAGTAACATTGTATGATTGTATTATTTGTAATTTAATGTTAGCGCATTCAACTTCCTTCTACAGTTCACAGTGTGCTTTGTACTCAACAGAACCAGTGCTCTCTAGATCTGTTATTTATATCTTAAATAGATTTAGTGTAATTTTTAACTGTAACCTGAACTTTCATTTTATATCAGTACTTAGCACTGACCTGTCTGACAGTACTGTCTACTGCTATCTCACTGACAATCAGTACACAACGAACTGGTCTATGTATTGATTTACTTCCTATAGTTATAATCCACTGATAAGCAGTTCTCTCTAACATCGTTCTAACTGGCAAGTGGCACTGTTAATTCTAGTGCTTTACGCATCATCATTAAATTTATTCTCAACATATCACGTCACGACATACAGTACTTTCAGCTGATAATGACATAGCATTACAAAAGAGTGAAACAGACCCCTCAGTGCTTCTTGATTCACACGTTGCGTACGAAGAAAAGGTGGGCATACTTTGTGAGAACATAAGAAGAGTTTCAACCACATATCGTGGAAACAAATACCTCCTCCCAACAGATCTAAGGGAGCAGCTGCTAGGATCACTTGCAGCTCTACAAAAATTATCTCTCGCAGACCCTGATAATATAATCAAGGCTGATAAAGTTGAAATAGTTCAGCCTAAGTATAATAAACACCCAGGAGAGTTACGTCGTGAACTTCAGGAGAAGATTCCTCTGAGCAAAATTCCTGTTACTGTCAGTAAAATACAGCAGGCTCGACAAGGAGGTATAGAAGTTTTATGTAACACGCAAGACGACATAAATAAATTACAGGAGCATATACAAAAAACAGATGTACAAGCTGATGTCAAACGAAGAGAAAAGTGACGCCCCAGATGCGCCATACACAATGTCTCTGAGCAGATCAGGCCTGAAGAACTCATTGCCGAGCTTAGTGCTACTGCAGGAGTCTCCGCAAATCTTTACAAACCGCTTTTCCGGCTCAAAGAACGACACGCCCCAACAGAGTGCAATGGGTCATCGAGTGTACTCCCACTGGATTTGCAGCAGCACTCAAACTTCGAAAAAAAAAAAATCTACACGGACTGGCAAGCACATACAATTACAGAATTCCTTGGAATTAAAAGATGCTTTAAGTGTTAACAATTCGGTCATCTCCAAGATAAGTGCCAAAGTAAGAAGACATTCTGCGCCTACTGCGCAAGACTACACAATGTTAAGGACTGCAAAGCAGAAATGCCAGCCTGTATTAACTGCGGCGACTCAAATAAACGATTTGGTACTAACTTCGATTATCAACACCCAGCCTACGATTCAAACTGTCCCTGCTACCAACGAATAGCATTTAAATTTAGACTTAGTACAGAATACTAACCCCATCCCAGAGTGTAACATCCCTAGCCACCTGACAACAGAAAGCAATAGTCCAGAATCCCAACAGCACATAAATGTCGCGCATTTACAAAGAGAACAGCCTTTAAAATGTATACAAATCAACCTACAACATGCCCGATCTGCCACTACGCACTTAGTTACCTTTGCTACCAACTTAGCAGCTGATCTTCTGTTTATACAGGAACCTTACACACGAAGTGGGAAAGCGATAGGCTTCCCATTAAAGTGGACAGTTTATCAAAATATTGATCCATCTTCTCCACCACGTGCGATAATAGTTTCTTGTAATCCGGCCTGGGCACCTACTATCATTTCCACTCAACGAGATAGTGTTTCCATACTATTAGAGTTGCAAAACTTTACTGCAGTATTAGTTTCACAGTATTCTCCGCCATCCGCAGATATCAGTACCTCGTTGCAACACTCCCAAGATCTTTTGCAAAGATTCAAGACTTCAAACATCTTGCTGGCAGGAGATTACAATGCCCATAATACAGGATGGGGTTATGCACAGACGGACTCCAGAGGTCAACTTATGGAAGACTTTATTGCTGCCAACAATCTGGTTTTACACAATACTGCTGATGCGCCACCAACATTTGATCGCATATATGCACAGGGCTGGCCGGATTTGACTATTTCATCATTCTCCATAGCACAAAACATTCAAAACTGGCAAGTGGAAGAAACTGAAAGTCTTTCGGATCACAAATACATTACTTTTGACATTAATAGCCCAACTACAACCATGATCATTCGCCGCTATAACCTGCCAAACAATAAAATACGTGCATTTACAAGGACCATAAAGGAGAAAATTGCCTTACTTGAATCATCACTGGATCAAGCACATGATTCGGCAAAAATGGAAGACTTAACAAATGACTTAATGAGAATTTTAAAGAATGTCTGTGATGAACAGTTGCCGACACGCACCGCTAAGAAAATACAAAACATCAGTTGGTGGACGCAGGATTTGCAAATTCAAAAAAAGAAATGCAGAGCTCTTCGTCGTCGCCTCAAGCAAGAAAGAAAGAACAATATTCAAACAAATACACTTGTGATTTTTCAGAGAGAAAGAGCGGCCTATAAAAAGCTAATTGTGCAATCGAGACTGCAGTCTTGGAGAACATTCTGTACGGAGTCTACTGATGTCTATGGCATACCACATAAGATAGCTACAGAAAAACTCTTTAAACCTACTCAATTTCAGCTAATTACATCTCCTGATCTTTCCCAACATACAGCTGCTACTTTTCAGAGTATTTTAAATTCGGTTATATACCAAGACTCTTTGGAAGATGATACAGCTAGTCACACAAATGAGAATTAACAACAGTACATCTCCAACACCATCCGACGTCCACTTTACCAATATGGAGGTAAAACAAG